TGTCTATTGGTTAGCTACTAAGTTCGATAGGTTATCACTAGGGAAGGTCCAAAGCCGAAAGCTACCTATCCTGATGCAAGATATTTTCGATTTATACTCTTTCGACAAATTCTGCATATTGTTGCATTTCCGTTGTCATCAAATTCCATTCATGTGGGGGATTGTTAGAAATGGTTTTGGAAGTTTTGGAAATATCTGATTTTTCCTTAACTTTGGTCTATTTTTTAGGTGGGACCCATGCGCCAAATTTGGCGGATCTAAGTGGTAACGTGTTCTATGTTACGTTGTGATTCACATGGTATATTTGGTTGCTCAAAACCATTATCGGGTGAATGAAAAATTGAAGCCAAGGTAAGCTCCATGGAAATGGAGTTTTTGTTGGAAAATCCTTAAAGGTTTGAATAAAGGCTGTCCCACATTGGTTTGGTGAGAAGAATTTTGTGGGTTTATAAGGCATAGGTTTGTAACTTGGGTTAGGCCCCAAGGGGCACCCAAGTTTTGTAGAGATGGAGGTTATGGGTAAAGTGGGTTAGACCTATTAGACCCAAAAATAAACACATGCATGCGCTGTCGCCCGTCTGGCCGGGCTGGGCTGGGCCTAGGTTTTGGCACGGGTGTGAGGTTGAGTTGGGTTTGTCCGGCCCAATACTAATTATTTTTTGGGCCAAAAACTTTTGAATTTTATTTTTCTAAAATTAAATTCTAATTTTTTGCAATTTGAATTTCAGAAATTAATTTCAAAAAATTTTTGCCCGATTTTCCTCCACCAAAATTCTGCCGGTTTTTATCTGTTTGAATTTAAACTTGAATAGTTTCAGTATCTATTCAAATTGAAACCCAAACATTGCCATATTTGTTCATTCAAACTGAACAGGTTTGCACCTGTTTATTTCAAACCAAATAGCCACATTTTCTCTTATGAATAGACAGACCCTCTATTGATTATTTTCATTCAGAAAATTCATTCTTTCCTCTGTAATTACTCTCTACATTTTGCTGCATATAATTTTCTGTGAGAAATAGTACAAACACAAAGTGTGTTCGTTGTGCAAATAATTTGTAGTGCTGCTATTGTTTGCTGTTGATCATTTTATTCTAGGAGATAGACGTCCACATTCTGAAAGCACCGTGGAGAGGACAAATCTGTCTTAAGGACACAGTGTTAAACATTGGACTTGATCAGAAAATTTGTTCAACAAATTAATTTGGTAAGCAATTAATTTACTTTTCTGTTTTATTATTTTTCTGTTTCAGATTTTGATTTTGTTTTTTGTAACAAAATAAAAATCTGTTTTATTTATTTTATTTTATTTTATGGTTTGATTTTTGTAATCAAACAAACTCTCTCCTTTCCTTTATTTCTTCTATATTCCGTTTGTTATTAAGTACACAAACAAATTTTATTTTTTAAATACAGTGAAGATTGTCGGATAGTTATCAGAGGGGCTTAATCATAATGATTAAATTTCTGTAGTGCCTTTTCTACATAGTGAGGCTGGGTCAATATCAGCTAATTTGATCCACATATTATTTAAATACCTAAGACTACACGTACTTCCCTCCTATTAGGCCTTTGACGGGCAATTTTGACGGAATTTACCCATTTCCCACCTGAATGAACCACGCTTTTATCCCTAAAATTCCCATAAATCCATAGTTTTGTTTGCGATTTGCTGTGTTAAAATCAATTGGTTGGGTGTTATCGATCAGAGGCCTTAACGGGGTCCTGGTACTACTCAATCTGAACGCATCCTCCGCTTGGATCACCAACCTATGAAGGTCCCCAAAAAGTGGCTGGGAATTGAGCCTTTTAGAACTGCATTAGTCAGCCTTGAACCTCATCTACATGCAAAAAAGCTCCCAAAAGAGTCAGCCAAAATCCTACTAGTAAGTAGGAACACTCTGTATCACGTTTTTTGAAAAACAAACAAAACCTTGTGAATGAGGGGAAGGGGATGCACCAATCATTTGCTGTACTTGCTAACACCAAGTGATTGTTGCATCCACAGAAGAAGAAAAGGAAAGCCCCATGCATAGTCTATGCCACCATCTGAAAGGCAAGTTCAAATTTAGACATCTGCACAAGCCACCGTGGAACATGAGAATCAGCTTCAGTTCAACCTACAAACAGATCACATTGTTGAACTGGCAGCATTAACTCAGAGAATGAATGAACTAATGCCACTATCCAAGCACTGACTACTATCCAAAGTTTTAAAAGGCTTGTGCACACTGTTTGAGACATGCGCCTTAGGTGCGTCTTGTACACTTTTTACGTATAAGCATGTGAGGAGTACACATATGAAGAGTTTGTTTTAGATACTTGTTAAACTTGGTCCAGTAGATGGTTTAAACATAAAAAAGTAAAAAATAGAAAGAATCATTTTTGCAACTATATTCTATTAAGAAAATGACCAATCAAGAAACAACTCAAAGTTAATGCTCAATGAGAAGCTCAATCAATAAAGCTAAGAATACCAATTTCATATTCAATAAAGCAAAGCTTCCTTCTCGGTAGTGAGCCTTGAGTAGAAAAGTATTTACACCTTCATATTTAATTTTGATGTATTTATTTATTATTTTAAAATATTTAAATTATTCACTAAATATAAAAATTTAGAATTTGAAATGCTTACGCCTCAACAGCTTAAAGCTTACGCTTCACCTCACAAGGGGCAAAACCCTTCATGTTACACATTTGCCTTTAAAAACTTTGCTACTAACCGAGGACAGCCAACTCCTTCAAACACAGAAACAATATCTGGAACCAAAAAACTGCCATTATCGATAGTGTGACTCTGGGATTTTTTTCAGAGTAGACATTCAAAAATTTAAACTTTATAAATCTACTAATTTAGACTTTTCAAATCACTCTCTCTCTCTCACACACACACACAAAATCAATATATTGTTATCATTATTTCAAAAGCCAATATGTGGATATAAAAACTTTTATGTAAATATTGTTTGTATTTATCACTAACATGATAAAATGAGACTTTTTTCTTATAGAAGTTTCACTATGGTTAATTTGTGCAGTAAAATAAATTTTTGATTGGTCAATAAATTTTGAACAAGAATAGGCATATAAGATTTAAGACAAGAAGTAAAATATGTGGATGTATATTTTATACTAGATAATTGTCTAAAAAAATATATATACTAGAGAGAATAAACAAAAACAAAGAAGAATCTATATATATAAACTAAAACCATATATATATATATAAAGAGCATTAATGACCACATTTTCTTACTATGTTTTATTTATTGTCTCATGCGTTAACACTATAATAGTAACAAGTATGAGTGGTGATATTCATTAAACTAATACAATATTGACACAAAGTAATAAACAAATTATGGTAAGAAAAGATGGTAATCCTAACATTCATTGGGTGTTCAATGGAGTGGAGTGGGTGTTTAACCAAGTGAGTTGGGTTGGTTGGGTATTCAATGGAGTGGGATAAGGTGTTCAAACTTAGAGAATGAACAATTTTAATATATATATATATATTGCTAATTTATTAAACCATTCTTTTTTTTGGGTTATGCAACTGCATACCCCACCCAAAAGGTAGAGCCGCCCATGATTATCGAGGGGAATCTCACTGGCCACTCTGGCCCCACAACCTCGAGTCCAGTTTGTGCTAACTGCCACCCACATTCCTCACACTCACGGAGTGCGTCAAACTGGATTACTTCCTACTTTACCACTTTTCGGTTGATAGTATTTGGCATAAATAGATGCGTTAAAATGTCCTTATTGTGCTCCAATGTCTTATGTGATGCTAATGTAAGCAATTTTCGTCTGCTTTTTAGACATCAGTTAGGATGGGACTACATTGAATTAATATGTGAAATTTGGGGATGCAATTGATACAATTTAAAGATTAGGGACAGAAATTAAATAATAGATATACTTTAGGGACCATTTGTGTAATTTATTCTTTTTTGGATATAGCAATTAGTGCTCTCGGTCCATCCTTGCAGTTATTAATTCTAACATTTTCTTCCTTCTAACTTTTTGTTACAGAGTACGAGTTTCTTGGTGCCTGTTGAGGCAGCAGCTTCTGCTGTAATGGAGGTTGTCTCTAAAGGTGGGACAACATTCTATGGTGGGTTCATGGACAAAATTTCTGCTTCAAACAGTTTGGAACAGATTCATGGAACTCTGAATGATACTGTGAAAAGATTACTTGCTAAAAGGGACAATTGCCAGAATAGACTCCAGAGACACAAGAACAAGATGCCAACTAATACTTGCAATAACTGGGTTTGCAGGGTGTTGAAGATTGAGGAGGATGTGAAAGATTTTGAAAGCAAATTTGAAAAAGAAAACAAAGGTTCACGAGTATGGCATGTTCTTTCACGTTCAGAGTTCTACCAAGAGATGAAAGATAAGTGGGAAAGAGTTCTCAAACTTTTGGAAGAGAGCAATCAACTGGGAGAATATTTGGTTGATCAACCACCAAACTTAAATTCTTCTGTAGGAAGAGTGTGGAAAGCACACTACAATCAGGGCGGTCTGGTAGGGTTTGCAATTCATTGTCTATCAGTGAGATCCAATTTTTCTCTAACCAATATCTTTTATCTGGGGGTTTTCGTAACGCTTCGTTGGTTTTCACCAAGAGTTTACATTCACCATCATGTAAAGCCACTTGCCTGATAATTTTGTGCATCCTCACATATCCTATGGTCAAACCTTCATCAAGTAAGGATACATTCTTCAGATGCTGCAATATGCTACGACCATTGATGCGACACTCATCTGCATCATCATTACTGCCAAGAAAACATTCAGCAGCCCAACACTCCAACAAACAATCTATGAGAATATCACTATCTTCAGAATATTTGGTAGAAGTGATGGGAGCACCAGAAATCCAAAAATTTCGCACATTTCAAATGCACGTGGATAACATTTTGAATTTGCTAAGGAATGACAAAGTTAAAGGGATTAGAATCCATGAAATGGTGGGGAGTGGTAAAACACCATAATGCTAAGCTTGAATAACCACAAAGAAGTTGGCAATTTGTTTGATATTGTCATCTGGGTGAAGGTTTCAACAGAGGGTAGCAAGGAGAATTTGAGCACAGAACAGTTGCAACGGGCTATTGTGTGTAGACTGAAACTTGATATGGAAATCACCAGCGATACTTATGAAGTTGCGAAGAGAATATCAGAAGACTCGAAAGGTAAAAGATATTTGCTACTCTTGGATGATGTGAAGCAAGACCTAAACTTGTATGGCCTCCTGGGAATTTCAGAAAGTACGAATGGTAGCAAGATAGTATTGACAACTAGATTTGGTCATGTCCGTTCCTCGATTGTGAATATGGTCATCAAGGTGAATTACTTATCACAAGATGAGGCCTGGAAAATGTTTCAGGATATCTTGGGATGCCCAGTATTTAAAGATCATAGAAAAATCTCACAATTTGCCTGGAAAATAGTTAACAAGTGTGGTGGTCTTCCACTCGTTATAAAAATGGTAGCGAGTGACTTCAGAATGAGAATCAGTGAAGATCAATGGGTTGATGGATTTAACAACTTCAGAAACTGGCCTGACATCAAACACGAAGGAATGGGGGAACTGTATAAATTGTTGAGTTTCTGCTGCAATAATTTGAACAGTGAATAGAAGAATTGCTTTTGTTATGGTGCATTATATTCTGAAGATAGTGATATTCCCATAGATTGTTTGTTGGAGTGTTGGGCTGCTGAATGTTTTCTTAACAGTAATGGTGATGCAGATGAGTGCCGCATCAATGGTCGTAGCATATTGCAGCATCTGAAGAATGTATCCTTACTTGATGAAGGTTTGACCACAGGATATGTGAGGATGCACAAAATTATCAGGCAAGTGGCTTTACATGATGGTGAATGTAAACTCTCGGTGAAAACCAATGAAGCGTTGCAAAAACCCCCAGATAAAAAATATTGGTTAGAGAAAAATTGGATCTCTCTGATAGACAATGAACTGCAAACCCTACCAGACTGCCCTGATTGTAGTGTGCTTTCCACACTCTTCCTACAGAAGAATTTAAGTTTGAATACAATCCCTACTTTATTCTTTGAGTATATGGAAACTCTCGCAGTTTTGGATTTGTGTTGTACAGGAATTGTGTCATTACCACAATCCATATCAAAGTTGATCAGCCTCAAAGTGTGTTATCTAAATGGTTGTAGGTATTTGACAGAGCTTCCTTCTCAATTGGAAGGACTTAAGCATCTTGAGGTGCTTGATTTTCGAGGTAGTGGGGTCAAAAGTATACCATCTTTCATTGAGAAATTGATGTGCCTAAGGCGTTTGTTAGTATCATTTACTGACAACACTTTTTCAAGGGTAGCTTCTAATTGCAAAGTGATTTCCAAGCTTTTTGCATTAAAGGAATTGATCATTGATGTGAAAGCTCCTCGCAAGCAATGGAGTGTTAAGATGCTAAATGCTACCATAGAAAAGATCGTTCCTGTAAAACTAACCGCTCTCCAATTCCAGTTTTCGGATGAGACAGTAGATATCGTAAAGCTGGAGGCATCTACTACATATATCTGTGTTCCCAATGCAGACATTCTTAGAATTTTCATCAAGAGAGACGACCTTTACTTTGCATCATTTCAAGTCTGCATTGGTTGCCACTCAACCTGTCCTAGAATTCCTATGTCATACCAGTATGAAAGGTACATGAAATGTGAAAGTTTTAATCCTACTGTTTCAAAGTTACTTGCTAAAGTTGATGCATTCGAATTGGTCAACCACCCTGCTGAGAATCTGATGAAGTTTTTTAAGAGCATGGATCAGGTCCAAGGTTTGCTAATTGAAAGTTGCAATGCAATTGGAACAATTGTGGATGGTAATTCAACAATAAACAGCCCCGTATTGCCAAACCTAGAGCGACTATACATAAAGAACATGCCAATGTTGAAAAGCATTTTTGGAAGGTTATTTGCCTTTTGGTAGCCTATGCAAAATAAAGACTCTAGTTGTGAGTGATTGCCCGATGTTGATCAATGTATTTTCTCAGGGGTTGGTTCAACAACTTTCTGGAATCCAGCAACTAGAAGTTGAAGATTGCTGTGAAATTGAAGAGATAATTATGGAATTTGAGAATACTGGAACGGATCCATTTGTGCTCCCAAATTTGGAGAAAATAACACTTCATAATATGCCAAAATTAAGGAGCATTTGCGCAAATGAATCATTGGAGTGGCACTCCTTAAAGCAACTTGAGATACATGGTTGTCCCAACTTGAGTAGACTACCTTTCAATAGGGAAAATGCATTGAACCTGAGATCAATTAAATCAGAGCAAGATTGATGGAATGCACTGCAGTGGCAACGAAATAAGGTCAAAGAACACTTTCAACAATATTGCACCTTCAGGTAATTATTTCTCTTTTGGAGATCTTCGATGATAAGATACTAGTTAATAATGTTGAATAACTTGATACACATTGTTGGGCTCATTTCCTGATAGCTTAAGCTTTTGGGACTAGTGGGGGAGGTGTTGGGTTCAAGTTTCTTCATTTTCATTTGGTCTCCATTTGCATTCTTTCTTCAATATGTATGAATGTTTGCATCTCCATGTGCAAGACGGGGTTGCACGTAATAAAGGGTGTTGAATAGCTTGGTATAAATTGTTTGGCTTATTTCCTAACAACTTAAGCTTTTGGGAGAATTGGTGATCCAAAAAGTAAAACAAATAAATTCTTCTTGTATCAAACAAACAACCCTCTAAAACATTATTTTGCAGTTATTTGATTCAATTGAATATGCATTTGATTGGAATCCTTTGTTTAGGTTAGGGTAGCTTTGTGAGGTTCAATTGAAATTCTTTTTACTCTTATTTAGATAACCATGGTTAGTGTATTCTAACTAATAAAGGTTCATTATACATTTTAAACTATTCTTTTTAAATTAGGACCATGCTAGTTTAGTCATTTGCATTTTTAGGCTTTGGCCCAACCATATTAAGAAAGAGAAATACATTTTTCCTTTGTTTGGTTGGTTTCCTTTCTTCTTCTATTTCTTGCTCTTTTTCTGGATTTCTTGGTTAACTTGGCTTGCTCTCACTCTCTTCCAAACAACTTTTCTTTTGTCTATTTCTCATTTAATCAATTTTTTTTTTTTGTTTAAAACTGCATTGTGAGTATGATGGTTATCCATTGCCAACAAGTATTTCAGCTCGCTTGGGGATCTCTCACGGTCAGGGGTTATTAGACTTCTTCGAACACCCCCATCGAGCAAAATAGTAATAATTTTAATAAGTGTAATGCCAATTCACCACCTCAACATATATATGTAGATCTTACATGCTTACTTGGGGTTAGAAGTTTTTCCCTCTAGAAAAACTCATGTAACATTGACCAGGACTCTACTGATGAAGCCATATCTATAGGGTGAAGTTCAAACTTTTGGAATACATAATATTTTATGGTCTGAAGTTTCAAATTGATTCTTGAATACTTACCCAAATGTGGGTTTTGAATCGAAACTTGAGTTTTGAGCTTTTAGCTTGAAATTTTGTTATTGTTTAAGGATGTAAAACCCAAGTTTTGTATATAATTATTTTTGGATAGATTGGTAATTAAATTAATTTATATGGGTCATTTAGTAATATCAAGGAATTAATTATGAGATGTCATTATTATTTTTATAACATAGGTGCGTAATTTTGCAATTTTGGAAAAAGAAAAATATTAGGTTAAATAAGCCATCATGCCGTGGCTTTTAGTCTTGGAAAAAAAAAAAAGACGTGGATGCTGCGGAAGGGAAAGGCAGCAAGGGTTTGAAAAAAAAAATAAAGAAAAGAAACCAAAACCAAAAGGAAGAGGGAGGATTCATAAGAGTGGTGGTTTTGCTTTATTCATCACTTAGGTAAGATTTATTTTATTGTATTCCTATCTATGATTTTAGTGTTAATATATCAATAGATGATTTTATGGGCATATATGATTAAACAAATATATTGATGTAGTCTATGTTAGGGGTCTCGGTTTCACTCAATTTTAGAGTGTATTTTGCATTCCGTTTCGGTGGTTCATATTTTGAGATTGATATGTGATAGGTTAAGTTTAATGGTGGCGTGTTTGTGGGATACAAGATTGACTACAAGCAATTCCAAATTTTTACATGTATATAAACAACAATAGAATAATATGGGTTGAGAATTTCCGAAGCCGTGATGGCTTTGTTTCGATGCTAAATTGTGGGAGTTCCTAATAGGCTATTGGGTTAATTTATTCTATTGTTGTTACAATAAGAGAAGAATGGGTGCACATAATAATTGTTTATGTGGTGTAATATTTTATTAGGTTTGTGAGATTGAGATGGATCTTGGTAATTTGAGATTAGCTTGGGAAATATTATTTTAGCTGTTTGAAGTAAGTAACCCTCTATCACTGTTGGTTCATTTTTATTCCTATTGAATTGTTTCAAATTATAAATATTTATTTATAGCCTTCCTATTCTCCTAAAATTAAAATATGGGTCAAGTATAAAACAACATCGGATATTATTATGGAAGTTATTTGAATATTTTGTGAAACTATTCGGAAAATTATACCAAATGTTTATCCTAAAAATATCGAATATTTTATTTAAAAGTTTCATATTGTTTGAATTCTAAACATCACTCTAGTTTGACTATGATTAGGACCCTCGCCAATGGGGGTTATTTATTGGCACAGAAACTAGTTTCTTTTGGGGTTTTACCACCGGCCTATGTGTGGTTTTGGGCCTTGTCACGGGCTAAGTGACCGTATTCACCAAGACTTGGGTTTTGTGAATTGCATCATTGAACCATTTGAATATCGAACCATCAATTTTGAACAACGAAATTTCATCGAATTATCTCATTGTCTTTTCAATTAAAATGTATTGCTACACTGTTTATTTTCAGCTACGAAACCATCTTACAAATAATTGCTCATTTATTGAATGGTAGCGGAAATATATTTATTGGTTATCCACTATTTTTTTTTTTGTGTATACTTGATCCAGCTAGCAGTGAGGGTTGGTTATTTACTGGGCTGTCTAGCTTACCTTATTTTGTTTTATTTTTTTCAGATTCTGAGGAGTAGAGCTGTGCGAGGTTTTTACTTGTGGGAGTACCAAGAGTGGGACTATGATTTAAGCACTTGGATTATTATTTTGTTAGTGGATTATATTAGTGGACTTGGTGGACAATTTTATATGATAAGAATTATTTATTTTTATGGATTTTAGCATTATGATAAATAAGGATTTAATTTGAATATTTTACATTGTTAGTTTTGTGTTGGACTCTTAGCCTTGCATGCTCACTTAAATGAGTGTGCGGCGTTGTCACGGAGCTTGGGGCGTGACAAAGAAGCCTGAGGGTATAGTTTGAAAACTTGGGTTTACAAAAATTTAAATCTTGACCTTTAGAATAAAGCCTTCTAAATTGAGACTTAGAAAGTTTTCAAAATTGTGAGAAAGACAACTTGAATCTCAGCTTTCAAGACTAGAATGAAAAGTTATGCTGCAATTTTGAAATGCCTTAACATTTAAAGTTGCATTTTTAAAGATACAAATGCTCCTATATATTTATAAATTTTGATTTGATTTTTGAACCTGAGATTTCGATTAAGACTATAGATGAAAAACTAATTTTGAGCTTTGGCTTTTTCAACTTGTAAATGAGTCAAACATGGAGCCAACTCCTGGTCTGTTTGTTTTGGCCTTGGCATTCCTCATTTGGCCTGCAATCCTTGTACATTAATATATATAATATATATACTATGTCAAGCATTTTCTTACTCCGATGCAACTGTCTAGATTTTTTATTTCAAATTTTGATTTCTGCAGTTTTTTTTTTTTACCCACATGATGGTTACAACTGTCATTTTCACATTTGTTTGTATATATACAAGCACATTAATTTACTTGTCAAAAAAAAAAATACATGGATTTCTTGATTGGATCTTGATATTGTTATGGAATGGCATTGGGGAACTTTCCTCCAAACCAATTGAATGTTTGACTCATATGTGCTTCGCTTTTCTTTTCATCTTGGGAAGGGTCATGTCAACTACTACAAATGCTGTAGAGGGCACTAACAGGATTGTCAAGGAGGTCCCCAGAGACGTATCCCAGGAAGCACCTTCTAGGGCTGCTGCTTCCAAGAGAAGGCTCCTGGCAACAGACAAGGGAAAGGCAGTTGCCTCTTCTGGAAATGGCAAGAGGGGTAGAGTGGACCAACCTTTTGGGGTTCTTTATGGGATATCCATCAGAGAGCCAGGTACCGCTTGATTAGAGCTTTAGCGACAAGCAAGACAAACATGACAATGGATCTTTCTGTCTAATGAGGAGCAGTTGCTGTGAGAAAGGTGAGTGAAGAGGGCAGTTTATTAATGAGCCAAAGGAAGTATGAAGTACGTATCAATTTGTGTTGAGACTTGTACCTGTGCTTAGTTTGTGTCAATCTGTATTCTGTATCATTTTCTTCAAAAACTTCTCTGATTTGACTCGTGTTACATTTCTGTCTCACTTTGTTGGTATGTATGATATGTCATGGTATGTCAAAGACAGTTTTAGCTAGTGACTTGATCTGTTCTGGTTATTGTTTATGGAAATATGTAAGTCTACTGTCCCAGACAAATCTACCCAGATTTTTCGGGGTAGTGTATGTCTGTTCACTGATACACTGATATGGCACTTCACCCGAAATGGAATGTTCTCTGTTAGATCAGCCTATCATTTACGAATGAGTGTGTCACAATCGGCCAACAGTCCTAGTTCATCAGATGGAGGACAGGCACAACATCAATTTTGGAAGGAAATTTGGCACCACGGCCTACCTAGAAAGATCAAGGTATTTGCTTGGAAAGCCTGTTTGAACATTGTCCCAACCCGAGCTTTATTGAGGCACCAAAAATTACCGATTGATGAAAATTGTGCACTGTGTGAAACAAAGGTTGAGACCTTAGTGCATTGTCTCTGAGATTGTGTATTGACCAGTCGGGTTTGGGACCTCAGTCTGCTGCAATTGGAAGTATCACGTGGGCATGCTCTGATTTTCTACATTGGGCTTTGGAGGTCGACAATCTTGTTGCTGAACATGGGTTGGAGTTCTTTTTTGTGCTATGTTGGGATTATGGCTTGCTTGCAATCAAGTCATCTTTAGTAATCTTCACTGACCTGTTGAGGACATCATTTGTTGGGTTTGTGTGCTTGTGAAAGATTTTGGACAAGTGCATAATCAGGCGGAAGGGATTCCCACAACCACACCTATTGTTCGTTGGTTGGTGCCAAGGGAGGGCTTCTACAAAGTGAATTTTGATGCTGCTGTTTTCT